TTTCTTTTGTGTTGCCATAAGTTAGTCTCTCTGCGTTTGTACGCTGGGCTAATGCTAATAATGCTAATGCGAGGATAATAAAATGTTAGAGTTTTACGGGGCGTGGTTGCATTCCGCCCAGCCAATCAGACATAGGAACCTTTTTCTCTGAATCATTCGACATGCCACATAGGGAANTAATAAAATGTTAGAGTTTTACGGGGCGTGGTTGCATTCCGCCCAGCCAATCAGACATAGGAACCTTTTTCTCCCACGAAAGTACCTGTTTCTACCTCTCTAGCAGGTGTAAAAGGGGGTGAAAAGGTTCTGATGAACTCATTTTAGTTCCGGCTCTTTTTGGTGTGAACGCGACATTTTGGAACTATATCGGAACTAAAGTGGAAAACGTACTGCGGTGTGAACGTGGCTAATCTTTTCTCAGCTGCAGCTCCCCGGATTTCTCAGCCTGAGACGTAGGGACGCGGCGAGGCTGCGGGTGTGTGCTCGGGCTGGATTTCGCTGTCTCGCAGACAGCCACTGGGCTCACAGGGAGGGGGGGGCAGGAGCTCCAACAAGCCGTTTAGGACAGAGAGTGAATACACATACTATACAGAGATGCTGTATGAGAAACCAATGGGAGTCTCTGTCCTAAACGGCTTGTTGGAGCTCCTGCCCCCCCCTCCCTGTGAGCNTTCAGTGCTGCGAGGGTGCGCAGGGGGATTACCCAATTGCGATAGCCTTAGAGGGCGAAGCCATATACGAAATAGAACAACTCAACAGCAACAGCGCAAACTACGACAACAACCCACACCTTGCGCATTGTTCAGAGCGGTTATAAAGTGTTGAAGCGCTCAAGTTTGAAACTGTTTCAACCTGTCACCTCTCAGAATAGAGACGAGGCAGTGCATTGAATCGCGTGATTGGACCGCGAACCAGTCAAGTGATTAATTCAGGAAATGCTGGTTCGGACGTCACATGTCACGTGGTTTGAAGCAGTTGCTGCTTCGGACGTCATATGTCATGTGATTTGAAGCAAGCTTCGAAGCACTGCTTCTATGGAATAGGAAGTCCAGGGTTGAAGCTCCTTTCGAAGCTTCAGTGTCAAACTGCCATCGCTAGAATTCTCTGTTGACCTCTTTTATCGGCCTAGTTATTCGAAATTATTGATTTATGATGTTTTATCGGCCTAGTTATTCAAAATTATTGATTTATGATGTTTTCTGTGGACTTTTGGGTAAATAAAAAACACAGTTTATTTAAACCACTCCTCTGTCCTGTTGTTCATACTCCTCACTGTTTATTCATCATTCAATTCATTCTAAATGTTATTCTGTAGATTGTGTACATTACTTTTCACTTTACTGCTTTTTGCACTACTGGTTAGAAGCTAAACTGCATTTCGTTGTCTCAGTACCTGTAATCTATGCAATAACAATAAAGTTGAATCTAATCTTGAGCAGGAACAAATGTATTTACTTGGTACATATCTGACATTAACGATTAAACACATTTGTGCATTCTTTATAAATGCAAACTGGTCAAGACCACTGACGGAAGTAGTTTTGCAAAGTAGTGGTTCTGTCTTTTACATGTAGGATTCAACCCCCCTTGTAGTGATTTGTTTTAAAATGAACAGACACTTGAGTCATTCATTTGTAGTGATATAATAATTGTTCATCTGCAACGAATCTGCAACGAAGTTCCGCCATTGCAAACCGAGTCAAGCCGACTCCGAGCTGTCCGACTTAAGGCAAGCTTTTTGAGACCTCCCCCGGCTGCAATCGGCTATTCTCGTCTACTTTCGAGGCGAGCCTCATCTCAAACAAGCCTAATGCTTAGTAATTGGATAATTGTATTGTTGCATTGGGATTTGTTGACAATGAAGAGAATAGAGAACATATCCACCTTACCCTCTGATCTTAGTAGCTACCTGCTGCTGTGTTCCTGATAATAAATCCCCCAGTTGGATGAGATTATTAAACTATCAGTACCATCATGCCAGTTTTATTATTAAGGTTCACACCATGAAATGTTTTGGCAAGCAGCCTCAATATTCTCTCCAGAAGTTAATCTTTTGTGCATGTGGACACGTTGGATACAGCAGGGCGTCATGTGGTGCTTTGTAGATAAGAAACAGGCCTTTCCAAATTCTTGCACAGCTGTTGAAGATGATAGAAAACAGACTCTGTTAAAAAAAAAACTCTGCTTCTGAACCAGCAGGTGGGCACATAAACAGTATACAAACGAGCCAAAAAGATACACACCAGAGGCCTGTACTACGAAGCCGGTTCAACATAACCTGGATATGTTTGAGTTACCCGGTTTACCTAATCCAAAACAAATGCGCTCTCGCTAAACTGTCCTACGACGCTGGTTATCAACTCGTTAACTCAAGCCAGGGCTGCGGTCGAATCAGGGCCGTCCCTGGCCAACTAGAGGCCCCACGCAAAGTTAGATGCTGAGGCCCTCTGGGGTGCTAGTGGAGCCTCGTAGCGGCGAAAACCGTGCCGCGCCACACTATTAAACCGTGCTACGTGCTACAGTGGAAATACGCCATAATTGCGTCGCATAAACGCATAGGTGCGCTGCATTTGCGGCTCAGTTGAGGCTCCCTCCGCAAGATTTTACAATCAAAAAGTAAAATAATCTCAGATCATTATACCCGGGTTACCGTAAAGTCAAAATAGTTTAGCCTGCTGTGGAAGAAGCAATGCTGTATTTTTCAAATATAATTAATTACCTCATTTGGGATCAATTGAAAAACACTTACATAATCCAATACATGCAGAACATCCATTTGGCAGAATGGATTAAGTCTTAAGCAAATTATGTTTGTTTCCTTTTGTTTTTTAATACAAAACTCAATGAGAAAAACAGTTTTTATTAGTCCAGTAAAGATGTTCCAAAAGACTGACCATTTCCTGCCCTCCCCAACCCCCCACCCTACTTTACATACTATTTAGTTGACTGGGTGATGCAAGGAGTTCATTAACAGTGCATTTCATGATTTTGGTACCACATCTAACAGCTTGGCCAAATCTCAGAATTCCCTCCTTAATGAATTGGCATTGTTCTGAAAGTCATGTAAACTTTGTAAAGATCAGTTGTTGGCACCTAGGATGTTTGGGGATTTCGGGGGGATTTCAGGCAATCTCACATAATTGTGGTGTTAATTTAACCAGTTTAACATGTTTTGCGGTCTGTACATTTGAATGCAATTAAAAAAATAATAAATAAATAAGCAGTACATTTCATTGGGTCATTAAGTTAGAGAAAAACACACCATCACTTTTAAACCCAGAATAAGAATTATGTATGAGTTATGCATATCATATGTGATATTTTTTAAAGAAGTTACTACCCAAATCTTGTAAACTTTACAGCCTTTTTCTTTGTTTATGGTGATTTAAAAATCCTAATAATGGGTAATGACCTGATTTGTGATCATTGGCCATGAGTGACCCTTGCTCCAGATTCTCATCTTACCCTATTCTTCTTCCCTTTTTGTAAACCTGGCACAAAGAAGACACATGGCTGTTTCCCATTACAGAGGGAGTCACACTAATCCGTCTTGTTTCAATTGAAAACAGCTTATCGAGAACATTATTTAACTTTACCAAAATGCAGTTGAAATATCTGGTGACAGGTTTACGTTATTTGTGGTTATTTTTATTAGTGAGGTAAGTGTATTTGTTTTTGCCTATGGACCTTAAAGAACAAATTCATTTTATTATCATTAATATACATCCATCTTCAAAAGGTGTCTTTAAAGAATAACTGCCACCATTTCTAAGTAATAATAAAGTACAGATGGGGAGTTTGTTATGAGTCAGCCAGGCACTCTTATTACCATTATTGAGAACTGAAGCCACTGCTTTTAGTGGTTGCCCAGTGAGGGCGCGCAGTGTGCTCATAAAATCCCAGATAAATCAAAGTGAAGACCTTTGTTGTAAGTCATCCCTTCAATTTCTTTCCACGTTTTGCTGCCGTAAAATGCTGCAAATGAAAGTTTATATTTTATATTGTGCTCTGATTTCGTTTTGAAAACATTTAACTGAGTTAACATCTGTTTCTGCAAAACTGAAGGTACCTCACTTTTGAGACAACACAAAGTTTAATGATAGGATATAAATTGCAACATCATTCCAGATAGATGAGAGCTCAATGGTGTCATTATAGCTGCAATGATGGTCTATTTGTTTATTTTTACCTTTATTGCCACTATTTTCACAGGTAATACTAATACGATGACTAGTAATATAATTATCAGAATCTTAAGATTCAGAGTCAGGAACTGCCTGGGGTTTAAAGTGTTTTAACATTGGTGTAATTGTCCTCCACCTGTTTGTGAACAGTGTGTAATGTCTGCACCAACATGGCTCTGAGGCATTCCTCACACCTCTTTTACAATGTGACTTCACTTTAGATTTAAGACTGGAAGTAAATAAAACACTGTGTGCTTGCACATGGACATCACTTTGTCAGGTGTATAAAAGGGCCGGTTAACTCCAACAGAACTGTTTGTCCTGTGGTTGAATAACCTCTTACACACACACACACACACACGCACACACACACACACGCACACACACACACACACACACACACACACACACACACACACACGCACACACACATGCACACATCTTGCTAACGTCATATTGGAGGTGTCTTTGTCCGACCATTTCAGTAACTTTCCCAAACTGATGATCCAAATTTAACACCTACTTCATGCTGACAAAGAAGACAGTGTTTGAACTTCCTTCCCTAGCCCATTTTCCCTATTCCCTGTTACTTTTGGTGTGCACAAATGCAAAATTATACAAATCTGCCCAGAATTTAAGCAATATCACATCTCCCTTCTATACTGTATCTATTGGCCAATTTGCGTGATTTTCCTTCCCTTTTGAACACCTGGAGTAATACTGAAACAATATATTGAATCTTAAAGAAACAGAACATCTACCTTGTTTTTCTCCCTGAAAACACGCCTTCAGTGAACATGTTCTTCTGGTGGTTGGTAGACGGACTCCTTATGCCCTCCACCTTTCAGAGCTCCCTGTGGGGTGTAAAGGTCCATTACAATGGACAACATCACCCTGCCCGTTGTTTTTGTTAGCCCCTAATTGCAAGACCCACAGCAATGTTGATTGTGACATTCATTACGCACGTCATTAGCAGAGTCATTAACAATGGGGGAGCATGATAAGGAGTGTTTGGAGACAGTTATCTGCTGTAGGCATTGGGTAAATAGAAAGGGGGGATATCTTGCTCTGGGTACATGTGTAAAACAAGAATACTTGTTTGGAGGAGTGTGATAAGGAAAGGGAGAGGCAGTTGTAGTTTTAAGTTGTTTTTCCTGGCCTGCCAACAACAGTGAAAAGAATCTTGGGGAATCAAAATCTGAAACGCCTCATCAGGAAAAGAGAATTAATTTGACCACCTTTTCTGCTTATAAGACAGACAAATATAAGTTCCGAAAAAATATTGTACATGTAGAGATTGAGATTTAAGAAACATTTGGTGTAGTCCCTTCATTTTTCCCAGAGCTGTACATTTCACATGAATGTAGTCACACACAATATATTTCCATTATTTCATTCAAACAGCCCACATACCACTGAGTGCCTAATACGCATGATTTTAAATAATTAAACTGCTCAGATTGTTGCATGATCCTGGTACAATACTTATTTACATATTGCTAATTGATCCAGTTGCTGCTATTGTGCCAACTAATTGACCACCAATTACGTCATTAGTCTGTGTTAGGCTGTTTTGATAAGACTTAACTGCTTGCAGATGAGATACGTGCAGACCCTGCAGTATCTATGTAACCAATCTGTGCTGTCTGCCACTAAGAACATGTAAATTACTAACAATTATCCAGGCATCTACTGTATGTCTGAGCCAAAATACTGAATGCTAACGAAACAATGAATGTAAAGTTCATTGTAAAGTGATAATACAATCCCTATGCATTGTACAGTCTCAGTTGGAGAGATCATCAGTCTCATCACCTCTGAGTCTTTCCAGAGCAAATGAACATCTTCAGTTTGATCACCATTAGATGATAAAGGGAGGTATTGGGTCTAATGTCAGCCTGAAGGCTTGTAACTCCCCCTGAATGAGACAAAGTGTTGTACAGAGCCTTGGCATGGCCATACAAGGAGAGAAATCATTGGCAAAGATGCCTTCAGTATTCAGTTCCTTCATTTTTTTGGTTTCATATTGACTAATTAATAAAGGTTTATAGTTTTCTTATATTTATTAAGAATGTTTTAATCTATATTACGCAAAGAAATAAAGAAAATCTTGGCTGTAAAGTACTTTTTGAAATGATTGTCCGAATTGCTTTTATCCAAAAAGGCCAGGGTAAAGAGAGTCAAAAACCACAATCAAAATACATAAAATACAATTTTGTATATGATAAATGTTTTGAAGTTATAATATCACATTTGGAAAACCTTGACATGGCTTTTATCAGAAATGTTACGAAGAATGACCAGACAGACAACAGAAATGTGTGATAAATATCAAATGTATTTCATTAAAGGTATGGGTGAAGGGTACTTCAGAAACACTTTTTTTTATATTCCATGGAATGCTCTTAACATCCCGATAGCAATGAATAGATTAAATGCTTTGACAATAAATACATTTAAAAAAAATTCATCTGTGCAAGCCGTGGCGCTGTAAAAAGCACGACCAATCATTTTAGCCGGCCCGGATAAAGTAACTGGATGGCCTACCTGCCTGTCAGCCTTCCATCTGTTCACAAACTTATCTCATGCTCCCATTGGTCATGTGTGCGTTCGTGTGTGTTGGAGGAGGGGCTCTGTAAGGAAGTCTGAAGGAAGGGGCAGATTTTTTTTGGCTGTGTACTTTCAAATTCTAGCGCACTCGAGCTGGTTTCTCCATTCTTACCTACCCTACCTTTAAGGGCTGAATGTTAAAGTAGCCTTGACTCTGAAACAACAAGAACTTGCTGCTCTGATCTCCTGAGATCCTCTAGCTTTTTTAAACAGATTTCAGATAAGAAAAGTATTTCTTTATTTTCATTGTCGAACAACATTCATGGTCAATGAAAGCATGTGTTCATTTCCACAGCTTTTTTTTTAGCTCTGTAGCACATTTTGGATCATTTTAGGTTAACTACCAGATCTTTATCCAACATTGAACAGTTACTTCCACCATGGTATATATCATGAGCATATGGTACTTCACCTGCATGAATAGACAGTTTAAAGCCACTCACATGTTCAAAAAAGACTTGGCGAAAAGCTAAAACATAAACGGTGTGAAATGTCCTGTAGTGCTAGAAAGAGGATTTGAAGGGTCTTAATGCTATGCTAAATATCTAAAACAGGCTCATAGACCTCTGACTGTATTTATTAAGTGTCTCTGATTTGTCGTTTTAAAATGGCCAAAAACCTTTTATAAACTAAGAGTAAAAAGATTTTTATGTAAAACTCACAATCCTTCTGAAAGACTGCGGAGAAAAGTGTTATTATAAACACCTATGCTGCTTCTTGGTGTCCGGTAAAGTTTCAAACTCATCGATTCATCATTATTATCAGCCACTCCTGATTTATTTTCAGTCTTCTCTTCACTACCTTTCCACCTACTCAGTCTTTTCAGATGAAAGAACAGCTGTAAAGGATGTCATAAATTACACCCACTTGTTATGAGGAAGCTGTATAGCAGATGAGATTCAGTTGGGTCGGGAAGAATGTCATACACAGTGTAAAAGAAACACAATATGATTGAAAGACAAACAGTCAATCTTGCAAGTCGAATAAATATTTCTTACTTTTGTTTGGTGAAAATATGATCTTCTGTTTTTTTGGGCAAGCTATGCTGTTAAAATACTTCCAAAACCTTCCCCTTCCAACAGTTACATGATCATACATTTGCATTTATGACATTTGAAAATGTTATTACGGTAATCATTGTTTTGCTACAATGGTTTATATTGTCTTTCTTTTTGACAAGTCTTCAAATCTGAAGTTGTGGAGAAAAAAAGTGCAAAAATGAATGTGTTTGTCTTGCTCGAGCAACTTGTTGCTCCCCTCCACACACTCCCCTTTTCCCCCGACAACTAATGGCTGATGGTAATTACATTTAATGAGATCATGGGGTCGTCTGTAGAGTGCACTTCTGCAAATTGCTCTCAGCGTGGGGTCTGAAGTTGGGATAAGGTAGGGGGCAACGAGGCAGTGGAGGAGTGTTTGCCCAGTGTTTGGGGGCCTGGGCCCACATAGGCTCTACCTGTCACTCAGTGAGCAGTGAAACATGTCATGCATTTGTCTGCCTTTGTCCTAATTTGTTTGTCTGGCAGAGATAACCACACAGAGGTGATGCTTGTCTCGTCTCTATTGTATGCAACCGTTGTCAGCCCATCACGTCCATCCATCTCCAGCCGGCCCCCTTTCTCCCCTCTTTCCCTTTCTCCCTGCTCCACGACTGGTCATTTTGCCACTATTTTCTAGCTGCGGGGGGTGACCCGGGCAATTTAGTTAATCCATTAACAACTAATTGTCTCCTCCTACCCTGTTTTTCTTTAACAAACAGCCCGGTGGGGGGGAAGTTTAGCCACAGTGACCTATAAAAGTCACTCTGGAAGAGGAGGCCACCAATGTCACTGCGTCGATCATTGTAGACTCTCTGCACATTTACTGGGACTTTTAAACTTTGGATTTGTATTTCCCATACTAAACAAGTGAATCATCTTTACTTTGAGTCACCTAGTTATCAGTCTCACAAGCTTTTATTTCTTTTAATTTGTTGGTGGAAATGTTGGGCAATCTGAGGATGCTCTGCCTGTGTCTCTGCTTCTCATGGGCTGAAACTCGTATATGGGCCTGGATGCTCAACATGCCTCACGGCCCTCCGAAGGAGGGATCAAAAGCCCGAAGAGACAGCGCTGCTTTACCCAAAGCAACTACGGTAAGATACTGGATACTGTGCTACTTACTATAATGAAATTCAAACCTTTATTTAATCTTCTTAGAAATCGTAAGCGTTCTTTTGAGCTATATTTGAGATATTTGTTATAATAGCAATACAGATCGATTTATTTAAAGGGGTAGTGTTGGTCAGAGCTTATACGCTTTTCTATTTTTTTGCTGTAAAATATTCTCAGAAAGCTCAGAAACTCATTGTTTAGAGAATATAGTAATAATCAGTGTTAACTCTCCCTACTAATATATAACTTGTGCTGTAAATTGTTAAAGACCATTAAGTCCAATAATTCCATGTTCAGGATTTTTTACAAGTTTCAACATTAGTCTCTGTGAAGTTTTAACATTTCCCTTGTTTTTTCCCCCAGGCTGTGTGCGACCATGACAGGGCCTGTGGGCGTGGTTTCTCCTGCGATCGTCACTTTGGCCTTTGTGTTCCCCTACGTGGGGAGGGCCACTACTGTCGGAGGGATGCCCAGTGTGTCCGTGGACTCAGCTGCATGTTTGGAAAGTGCCACCGCAGTATTCCCAACGGACAAGAGGGTAAGAGTGCAAAAGCTAAGACTAATATGAAACATTAATAAATTTTCATTGTCAGTTTGGAGTTTCTAAACAACTGGATCTAAAATAAACTGATGTTTTCCTTCACCCAGGTGCCAGATGTAAAGTTGATAGGGATTGTGGGGATTCTATGTGCTGTGCTCGACACCACGGTGAGCAGGTGTGTAAGAGACGTCTGATCCGCAGCGAGAGCTGTTTTGTTCCCGATGGCGGCTTGGCATTCAGCATAAACCAGATTTGTCCATGTGATGAGGGGCTACTGTGTCGAAAAAACGGAGCTTCACTGCAAAGAGAGTAAGTACAGCAAATCAATCTTCAAATCATTTTAATCTTAAATGATTTACTCAAAAAAAAAAAGTCAAGGTTAAATAACCAAGGGCCTGTAGTGGTGATAATTTGTTAGGGAATTTGCACCACTTAATTAGAGCATAAAACCATGCAGGTACTGCGTATTTCGAGCCAGTTGTTTACATTTTGTAAGACTGGGACACAGCAAAGGTTTTTGGTATTGTGTTCATGAAAAGAATACTCAAAACAGTCACCATACACACGAATAAAACCTCATTTTTCGGAATGTTATCGGTTTACATTATAGTCCCAAAGTGCATTGCACAAAGGAAACGGGGGACCTATTCACAGCTGGAAAAAAGTAAAGCTAATTATGGATGTCATTAAAACAGCTCCAAGGAAAGCTGAGATAAAGCAAAAAAAAAGAAATTAAATCCTTCGAAAAACATTTTTTAGACAACATTTGTGAAGTTTTATCGGCAGTTACATTCCAACGGCGCAGTTTTTATTTTGACGAGCATTGGTACACTTTTTGTATTATTTCCTTTTTGTATGGAAACTGTGATTATTTTTTACTAACAAGCTTGATAGGAGTAATGGGTATTTCGAGGACCAATGTTTCTTTATAATCTGAGCAACATGTTTCTCAAACATGCTTGAAAAAAATTCCAGCATATTGTTTTTTAAGATGATAATAAATGACCTGTTTTCTTGTTTTAACCACATTTTGTTTGTCTTACAGGATAGATTTTATTTACCACCCAGAACGATCAAGTTGGACCTGCCAAGTTCCCAAATCCTAAAGCCAGCATTATCTTTAAAGCTATTTATTGTGTAAATATGTTGTATATGGTTGTATATATAAAAAAGTGTATGTTTTTCTAAAGATAGATTTCTTATTTGAGTCTTACAGCAAGGATGTTTTTATTATGATTTAATTTTGTAATTGTTGACAAAAGCACTACTGTATCTAGCTTAACAATGCCATACGTTCCCTTCATCATGCATTACATGATCTTTGATTAAATCTATTTTAAGTGTCTGTTAGCATTTGAATGAAAAAATAAATAAAAAATGTTATAAATAAAGAGGGTTTTTTTGTACTGAAAACACTTCATTTTCAAGCTGCACAGATGGCCCATAATCAATAATCATACACATAAGAAAATGTATAGAATAAAAGGTTTTGCTGCTCTCTTGTGGTGAACATACACCTAGAAGGTTTATTTGATGGTAATTATTACAAACACAATACAGGACTTTTGCCACCTACTTTAATCTAGTGTTAGTCCAATGACTTAACTTCGCTTCAAAACTACATAGAAAAGCGTAGCTCAAGATAGTTTTGATACTTTTCCCCCAATTTATTATATTCATAATCTATTAGTTGCTGAATTTAATAAAGCTGTTTGTGACATCTTTAAAGAAAGTTAATATTTGATACTCTAAATATGCAGTGTCACTTTGAAATTTAAAAGGGACTGAGCCTTTTTTTGTTAAGCAGGCAGGGTTACATAAAAAAGAAACAACCAAAGAAAAGGCGCTGTAAAGCTAGCTGTCTCCTGGCCCGTTCTAAGATCGGTATCTTCCTTACCGACTCCCCTGTCGCTCTATTCAGATGCTAATTCTCTGCAGCTTGCCTCTTCAATTGCGGGCTGACTTGAATTGTTCTATGAAGGACATTAGTGTCTAACCTTTTCTGCTATCGTTTTACAGCTCTCACCATTAAGTCTTTGCAAGGAGTTATTAGATCCTGTGAAGTTAAGTGCATGTCAAAACAGCATATATTTAAAGCGTTATTAGTGCATTTGAGGCATAATATCTAACTTTTCCCCTCCCTTGAGCAACTTCAGTTACCAGCTGTTTGAATTTCTTAAAAATGGCTGATTTAGCAAATATATCAAACCATGAAAAGCTGGGATCTGAAATATGACATCCATCTTAAGCTACTTAGGCTATAGGCAGAATGATACACCGAATACAAATTATGTAAACAAGCCATGAGAACACGCTTTACACACATACCTGATGTTGGCGACACAAAAGAGATAGCTTATCGCACAAGACTAAGAAACCCTATATTACTGAATGGTGTAAAACACAGGCCTATCATCTCCACTCTAGAACACCAGTCAGTAGTGTACTGTATGCCTGCTCTTATCTGAGCTGCCATCTCTTACAGAAGGTTTCCATACTTGTCTGTTTGCACTATTTAGCTACTTAAATGCTTCTCTTTTTGTCCAAGAGGACAAAGAAAAGACACCAGGCCTATCTGTGACATAAACAAATGTGTTGCAAACAGGGCCGCCTTAATGCACGGGCTGACCTGGGCTGAAGCCCAGGGGCCTAGGGAGATCGGGGGCCTATCATGAGCCAATAAATTTTTTTTTTTTTAAAAATTCAATTTTTTTATTTTTTTATTTCGGGTGTTTTTAAAAGAAATGTTAAATAAACAAAGTCTTGGCTTTCAGAATATGAAACTTTCATTTCCAAAATCACACGATAAATACATTTTTGAA